GCCCAAGCTTAGAGTGAGTGCCATGGCGGTAGCCCTGTCTGCAGGCAGCAACCTCAGACACCTGGTTCAAGGCGATCCTCGTGCCTCAGCCCTCCGAGTGAGTGGACTACAGGCACTGGCGCACCAGCCGGGCTATTTTTCTGATTTGTTAGTTGGCCAATTAATTTCTTTCTATTATAGGTAGAGGACGATGGTCTCGCTCTTGCTCAGGCTGGTTTCGGAACTCCTACCTCGAGCGATGCGAAAACCGCCTCGGGCGCTCCAGAGTACACTAGGTTTTGGTTTTTTACATGTGTTCATCTATTTCACTTACAACTTGTGTAAAAATTGCATTCCATGCCAAGCCTGAAATGTTCCAAAGCTGAGTTCTGTGAGTAAATTGCAACCAAGATTTCTACAAAAGAAGAGAGAGATAAGCCAAAGAAGAAGAAAAAAAGATATTCAGAACATTGATCATTTGGCAGTGATCCTAATTTATATATGATGAAACATGCCCTTAATACTTTCTCCATACACTAAAGAAATCTCACTGTAGAAGACAGTGAGATTTATACATTGGCTTATGATTTATACTTTCATATTTACACATGTAGTGCATTCGATACAAAACAGTGAATGCTCAACAAATAATTGTGTGAAGAGATCTTTATTTCTCTAGAACAGAGTTTTACAACTTCAGTGCTGTTGACATGTTGGCCGTGTAACTCTTTGTTGTGGGGATTAGTCTTGTACATTGCAGGTTGTTTAGCAACATCCCTGGCCTCTGGCTCCCAGGTGTCAGTAACAAACCCACAGTTGTGACAAACAAAAATGTCTCCAGATATTGCCAAATGTCAGCTGGGTATAAAATCACATTGGTTGAGAACCACTGTTCTATAATGACTCACTCTGATCTGTGTAATAATTCTCACACTAATCTTTGCTAGAGATGAAAAGGATTTGCCATATAATTTTAGTAATTTTCTACTAGTAAAATTTTAATATTTCAAAATGAATAGCAAAGAGTTTTACAAGTTTAATAAAAGTTCCAAATATAATGAAGTTATATTTGTAACTTACAGAAACTCCAAAAATGGTAGTGATTCAAATGCTCCTCTTTCAATAAACTGGATTTTATTGCAGGATAAATCTCTAGAAAAAGGAAGATATTTCTTTGATTAGCTATTAGATATCAAATTAGCAGGAACAAATAGAGTTTAGAATGATAATATTGAACATGTAGTTTTAGTCTACACTGTGAACTTTTGGATTTGTTTTAGAAATTTCCACAGCCCCTCATCCCTGTACCTCTTCTAGAGTCTCACTTTCATGATTTTCATAAATATTTTTCATTTTATTTTAATATTTTTTTTAGAGATAGGGTCTCACTCTTACTCAGACTGGTCTTGAACTCCTGAGATCAAGCAGTCTTCCTGCCTTGGCCTCCCAGAGTGCTAGGATTACAGGTGTGAGCCACTGCACCCTGCCAATTTTCATAAATAAAATATGCAACTATAGATCTTGATAGATTTTGGATGTAATCTTTCCCTAGAGCAGGAGACTTGATTAGGTGACCTTTGTAGTCTCATCAAATTCTAGATTATGAGCTCAAAGTTTTTATCTTTCTATATAATTTCTAATATGAAAAGGAATGATCTCACATTTATACACCTTCCTGGTTTAACCCTTTGCACTCGGATGTCAAGTGTGGATAATTTCGAGTGGATAATGAGAAAAAAGCAAGCGAGTGCAAAGGGTTAATTGTGTTTTTCTAAGCCAGTTCAATACTAAAAGAAATAAAAGATATCCTTTCACATCATTTGAAAGGAAATTATTCTTCTAATTAATGTATAACTTTGAACTAATTCAGAATTATACCATATTAATAGATATTCATTTGGTTTTATATTACTTTAATATTCCACAAAAGCAACTTGTTTGTTGTACAGTGATAGGACAACAAAAAACAACATGAACTGGGTTTTTATTTGAAAACACCCATTCTTGACTACAGTTGACTATTTCTATTGATT